CCCGGCTCTGTGTTCGCATGATTACATCACTGCTGGAGAGCTGGAGTCAGGCGTCATTATGTAAGGCAGGGGCATCACTTTTTCCAAAAAGCAACAAAAGTGCCGTCTTTTTTTGTTAAATGTCACCTTTCTATCTGTTCAGGACGTTTAGGGGACTTTACACAAGTTCACATCCATGTACCTGATTCCTGAAGTACAAACAGTGAAGATTTTTGTCTTCTTACAAAATGATTTTGGATCAAGTGGAACGTGAAACTGCATTAAAGAAGATGCACGCTCAGAGACTCATGCAGTGATGACCTGCAGTAAAATCCTTTGTTCTAATTACGGTGGTTTGTGTTGCATAACGGTTTTTTATTGTTTCTTAGAAAAGTCTGTGTGAAGGCAAAGCTGCCTGTACAATAAATGCACAATGATGCAGAAAACGCCTGATATCTATTATTACACAGTAAAACTCAAACAATCAGTTCTGAATGTAGCAGTATGGGCACACAGACCCCAGTGCTGTTCCTGAACCTGCACCAGCTTCCTAAAAACCTCTCATTGGTTTGTCTTTTTAAAGCACATGCATGAAAAACCTCAACCTGAATCCATATATTGTCTTTTTCAAACCGGATAATGATGTCTAACATTTCTACCTGTAATGTTCAAACGTTGCTTATTATTTTTATAACTTTTTGAATATGCCTCATTATCAGCAGAACAACCAGTAGCGCGTGAAACGTGTTTTCTGTGCAACAAACAGAAAGGGATGACAGGGATCGCTCTGTTGTAGAAGATAAAGATAAAAGGCGGGTTTCTTACAGCAGGAGGGGAGCTGTTGTAAATTGGTGGGAGCCTCTCTCTCTCCCTCTCAACTCCTGACAGCGCAGAATGTTCTCCATCCATCCTCCGAGTGTGGAAGAGTGGAAACGTTGCTTTGCGTTTTTCCCCGTCCCCTGGAAAGACTCACTCCTCTACAGCCTCTGCGCTGCTGTTGGTCACAGGGCTGCACATGTTTTTAACCAGAGCCAGCTCTGACCCCGAGCCCCCCGGCTGCCTGCTCGCTCTGCTCCGTTATTTCACAAAAATCAGGAAGATTCACATCCTACGAGAAACGGAGTGAAATCTACCTTCGTCGGACAGGTGGGCTTTCCGTTACGCGCACAGCCTGACGCGTAAACGTCTCCAAAAGCGGCGCGTAAAGTCTCCGATGTACTTTAAAAAGCACGAAGCAGTGTTGGTTTTAAATTAAGTTTTTTTCCTAAAGTTTGGGGCGAGTTTCTACCCGCTTCTTCTTCTCTTTCTCTCCCTCTCTGCGTCGTCTGACGGGGAGGCAGCACAGCTGCGGGCCGGCGCCATGTTTGGAGAAGGAGGAGGAGGCGCCTGGAGAGCACAGCTTCTCTCTCTCTCTCACACACACACACACACACACACACACACACACACACACACACAGGAGAGAGAGCTAGAGAGAGGAGGAAATAACGGCAGACAGTGGGCAACATGAGCTTTAGAAGAGAGAACGAAAGAATAAACACATGTTGGCGCTGAAACTTTCACGATCTCTGTGAATTTAAGTAATTCAAGCAAATATAAACGCAACAAGAATCAATGAATACCTGCAAAAAAGGTCCAATCAAAAAAGTAAGAATAGAAAATACGCAATTAAAAATAATTATTACATAAATAAGTGCATTCATTAATAATTTTTTTTAATCACATTGCTTAAAGTTAAGAAACCAATAATTTTATTTATATAACATAAAGTGATCATCTTGTGATTTATGTCAAAAAATCGTCATCTGATATTTCATCAGCAGGTGGGAGGGACATGCTTGTGCAGAAATCTGTTAACGAGAAAGAAAATATTTCCTCGTTTATCTGTTTTTGGATAAACATTTTTAAAGGCATTTTCTTTGTGAGATATAAAA